AGAGGTAATCTTTTTTTGCTAGATTAAAGGTAAGTAGAAAACTACTCACAGGATCACTGTAGGAGAAACAAAGATGCTTAATGATTTTGCACCACAAAAGCCAAAGACATAATCGTGGTAATTTTTGTTCCATGTTCTCTGAAGTGTCAGAATTGAATGCCTTTTACTGGACATCTGTTTTATGCATATTGTTACAGGGGAGGGGAGTCACAAAAGTGGCACACTTCGAGCCTGAAGACAGTCTGTTCATCATCGTGCTGTGCAGAGACACGTGTGCTAAGCTCATCCTCGTTTTCTGATTCATACAGCCTTTGCATACACGCAGCATAGAACAGACTATGCTCATAGTACAGTGATGATAACGCTTCATGATTGTTTAACTTTTGCAAGAGTGTCACAATTTTAGGAATCGACTAGAAATACAGAATGGAAACCTGTGTGTGAATGCTACAGTCCAAGGAAAACAATTTTTCGTTGGCCATTTTGCATGGCCAAGGTTTCACCCACAGGCTGTGACAGAAACAGAAATAGGATTTGTTTGTCTTATGTCCTACTTTTATCATAATAACATTGTTGCAAGGAGTGATGAATGTGGTCTACATCATGGTTTTTATATGTCACCAGAAAACAGTTTTTTGAAGTGGTTTATTTGATTGTGGAATGATGTTACAGTAGCGTTGCAAGTCTAGGGTCAGTAATAGTTGTTCTTAAGTAAGGTTTATGGGCTCTTTAGAGAGAGGAATTTCTGTATGCTCATTTAGTGGTAGCTCTGCCCTGACTGGAAGCTTTTGAATCTCCAAGCTGGTTGGTGAAGTGTCAAAACTACTTTTGTTGCATCATTGCTGACTCGTTCTTCGGTCAGCATTATTACTAATAAATTAAATCTTCTTTATATGTGTCAATGTGTGTTGTTGCATAGAAGTGTGAGCGCTCGCTTCAAGCTGACTTCTACAGCTCAGATCAGTTTTCTGTCTCAGAGATAGCAAGCGAGCATAGGCATGTGTGCTATAGCTGTATAAGGAGTGGTGGATTTTACGTTCATGACAACAGGTGGTTGCTCCTCCTCAGAGGCAGCTCATTAGTTCATCGAAGGAGCTGTCAAGTAATTAATAAAGGTAATCTGGAAACTTTCTTCTGACTCTGGCCCGGAGACCATAGACACCTGGGACGTCAGGGGAGCGGTTTCCTCTCATGACTGTCCAGGTGGAGTTTGCAGATTGACGTGCGCTTGTGAGGTGGCTGCCTGAGGACAATTACAGCTACAGCGTAGTGTTTGTGTGGACAATGGCTGGAAAACATGAGCGATGCATCACTTGGACATTGAGAAACGGAGGGTGGCATGGATGGGTGTTTCTCCATTCGATTAAAGGGAAGTCGTGGGTGTTCTGGAGGTCACTGGGAGCTCTGTCGGGAGAGCTGGCTGAGAGGCTTAGCTCAGTTTAGCTGTCAGGTGACTGCATATTCGTCATCATTCCCAGCAGTTGCCTGAGCTAGTATTTACCTCTGTGAGCAGTAACCTACTAAACAGTAAAAGGAGAACAAATGAGAATAGCTCATAAGGGAATACAAGTGTGAGTTCATAACCTGTGTCGATAGACATTGATTGTGCTGCCCCGTCAATAAAAGCCCGTGCTATTATTTCTCAGGCCATGTCTCATCTACAGATGTCATGCAGTTGCACACCCTATCACGAGAGATGCTTCCCTCCCATTAACCTTTTGCCAGTGGTGGATGGGACCAGAAGATTTTTAAGAAGAGTTATAATGAGAAGCTCTGTGATGGAAGTTGTAATGTAGGGTGTCCAAATGGCAATGATATCAGTAAGCCCCCCTTGATTCACATCTGACCAGATTTTAAAACGTAAAAAAGTTTTATTTGCTTCAAGGTTTTTTTGGTTTTTTCTTCAGATTGTTTTCAAGGTAATTGGAAGACATTTGTCACGTGTCCTTTTCAGCTGTGTCTCTTGATCACTGTTGTGTCTTTTAGCAAACCGTGTCTAGGGGTGGCTATAGAGCAGCATAAAGCAGTAGGACTGACCATTTGGAGCATTAGAGGAAACTATTGGGAAGACACATTTTATGCTTTTCTGTAGAGCGACATCTTTGTTTCCATCTTTCTGGCATCTTTAAGTCGGGAGATTGCTTATATTTGCTCAGAAAACACTGATTGCAGAAATGTTTATTGCACATGTTTTATCCCTTGTCTGGTTATAAGGAATGAAAACCTCTTTAGGTGTTAAAATTGTAAAAAAAAAAAAAAAAAGAAAAAGGCAACATTCAGTTTAGGGAGGGTTAGCAAGATTAAGATTAATGCTGAGGATTACGGGTAGCTGTACTATAAAAATCTCATTTCCGTGAAGTGCATTGCAGCCAGACTGTCCTGACCGTGTGCTGGAGAGCTAAGGAAAGAGGGTTCTGCAGCATCCTCAGAGCACAGAGCCTTGCACTGTTCTGCTGACAAGCTTTATCCTGCAGAATTGATGACTGGAGGATACAAGCCAGTTACTATAATTGTTTATAAGCCAGCCCCCTTCTGCCAGGAGCGGATATGGACATCTTTCACAATGGTCCTACCTGCTGGACCTTAGCGCGTGCTATCAAAACTGCCTCACCACTCCGTCGGTTGTCTTGTCCTTCCTGTACCGTGCTGCGGTAGGTGCTTCTCAGCCAGAGCTGAGGACTAGACCTACAGTCTAAAGTTAGGCTTTAGCCTAGAATTAGACTTTTATTGTCTCTAATAACACTGGGTGATTGATTGCCTTTTAATATGTGTTCTTTGTCCAGGACAGGCATCAAAGCTACAGGAATAGTCCTGTGAGAAAGAAATAGTGGAGTTTCCCATGGGCGTGGGGAAGCACCTGTGAGTAAGCAGTTATCTTACCTCTTCAAGTGCAAACACTGTGGTTCTTGTGTAAAAGACTCAAAACCCAATTCTGGTTTTGTTTACACTGGTGTAAACTCTGTCGTCTTGTGGTGCTGGAGCATGTCACAAGCTGCAGTTCGGGCCCGGCTGTTCCTCAGGCTGATGGGATGCTCTCGTTTGGCTGCTGCTCGGCGGGGGGTCAGTTCCAGCATTTAGAACTTGACATGCCCGTGATGCATTCCAGAAATCCACTGCTGTTCCCTTTGAGCAATAAAATGATGATGTATGAAGCAAACAAGCATAAGAAGTAAACAAGCTTGAGGAGAGTGATCTGAACTGCTACTGTATTGTTTGGGGGGGCTTTTTGGTAGTAACTGCAGACGGCAATGCCTGTGCTATGCCCCGCGTGCTTGATAATGTACAGAATTGATTTTAAATATAGGAAGTTCTTGATTATGTGAAACTTTATTTCAAATCAAGTGTTTAGAAAACAATTATACAGGTTATAAATAGAACAGATTTTAAATCTACTTCCCAGTGGCCATATGTATGGTGTGGTGGTTGGGGAGGGGGAGCGTGTTGCGTGGTGTTTTTTTGTTAGGGAGTGGTTTGGTTTTTTTAGCATAACACAATGAAGGGAGTTTTCAGTTGAGCAGCCATCTGCTTCTGCAGAGGAAACTTGCAGGATGATGTTTATTTGTTTCAGTCATCAGAGGTGAAATGTACAATAATGGTAAGCCCGTGTTTCTACAATTGGAGGATATTTCTCATAATGAAGGAAGTCTCCAAGGTCAACAGCTACAATACCCGGAGAAGTTACGTTGCAAAACCACATGTGCACAAGACTGCTTGCTCCACACAGCTCCCCCCGACTCCCCCACCCCCGCTTTCTTTTTGGGTGCTCACTGTCTCAGCTTAAGTGTTGCTCATATCACTTGCAAGAGTACCATGGATTTGATTTGGGCTTCTGTTTACATATTATTTAGCTGGTAAAAAAATAATACACACACCAACAAGCCAAAAAACCTGAATAAGTATTTTTTCCCCCTAAATGATTGAAAAAGCCTCACTGCGGTCTTCTAATGCCCTGTACATTCCCAAACTTGGTTTGTCTAGATACTGGTTTTGCAACGAGAATTACATTGCAGCAGCAGCGCCTCCCGGATCTAGTCTGGGCCTGTGCATGTCTTGGTTACCAGAATTCTAGCATGTGGTGGTAGTGGGCATGGCAGCTCATGCCCCTGTGTTGAGCTGTATGTATGTGAACAAGGAAGCTTTTGGCTATTTTAGCAACTTTTGTATGAGGGAAAAGAGAGAAGACCAGATCTTAATTTTCCAGGTCACACTGTATTGCTAGTTACTATGCAAATTAATGGTACTGGTACATGTAACACAGTTTGGAAGCCCCTGATATAATACATGTTTTATTTTTTGCATTTCCATATATGACGTTTCAGTACAAGGACTGTATTTTATAATCTTCTTTCTGAAGCAGTATTTTTCACCAGTGTTTGCTTGGTTTAACAAGTGGCTGTTAATCTAAATTCAGCTTGTCTTATAATGGCAAGAACAAGGACACTCCTTAGAAGGCTACCTGTCCATTTTATTTGTTTTCCAACCTCCTGATGAGGTTTGCTCTTATTCCATCAACAGGATAGCAAATCAAGAAGTTGCTCTACATACTTCGCATTGCTGTAGACCTTATTCCATTTATAGCCAAAACTCTGACTCAGTGCTGTTGAAGTCAGCTGAGTCTTTCCCTGGCTTCAGGTTGTGCTGAATCAGTCTATAAACCTAAAAGTCAAACCTGCTTCTAACAGAGAAAACAAAACCTTTTTCCTTCAATTCCTAACAGAACTTGTGGTTTAAGCCTGTTTTTCTGTCTAATCATTCACTGGTGATCATTCCAAGCATCATATATTAGAGTGATATTACCTAGTATTCAATATTTCCTTGATTGCATTTGGTTTGACCACAATTACTGCATTTATAAAGGGTGGTGGCGTTCTGCCATCCCTGTTCCCTCACCCTGCAATTGGGAGTAGTAGTTATGAAGAGGTGTAAACATCATCCAGGTAGCTAGGTAACCCTGAGTATTTAAGGAGGTGAGAATAAAGGCTGATCTTCTTTTAGGTGTGGACAGGTATGAGAGAGATTGGATTGGACTAGTGAAAGAAGTGTTTGTAAAGCTGAGGACATGTGTTTTGGAAGGTGTGCTAGATGTGTTGGTTATAAGTTGCTCATCCTTGCCTTGCTGAGCATCGTGGCCAACGTTTTACTTTATTTTCCCAATGGCGAAACAAGATTTGCTTCAGAGCATCATCTCAGCAGATACGTGGAGTGCCTTCATGGCATTCTAGGTGGAGGCTTTTTGGTGAGTAATGAGCTAGTGGTTTCTTTCAAGTTTATTTTGGAGTTACTTGGTATTACTGTTTCTTTACCAGTTACATTAATTGATTGATCAAATATCTCATCAGCAGGAGGCTCTGGAGTTGTATCAAAAGGACTTAGCTATATTACCCCATAGGTATTACTTGTTAGTATTGGTTATTTTATCTGGAACATTATGTCACTTTAGAGCTGAGAAAATTATAGGCTCTACGTCGCAGAATCCAAGTGCAGAACTGGGACCAAGCCTCTCAGCGGGTCACGGGTTGCATAAAGGGTTAAATCTTTTTTTGTTGTGTTATTGAACTATTCTCCTTTCAAATGTCCCTAGATAACTAGCATTTAGTTACAATCCCTTAATTTCTGTTACCTGAAATGTTGACAGTTATTTCTCTGCCTTAGCTCTTTTATTCAGAGGAATCAAGCGGCAGTTATTAAAGCTTTGCATTCGAGTAACAGCAAAGGATGAAGAATTGAGTGCATCCATTGTAGGACATTATTAATCTGAAGATGTTGTTTTCTACCTTTTCAGTTTTGTGGACCACATTGTAGCATATTTAAGTTCACTGACTCCAGGCTTACTTTTTCATTTGCTTTTAAAAGTCCACTTAGAAATAGGCTACAGATCTCAAGGTGTCTGTGAATTGCGGGTTGAAAACAATTGCGTGGTAAGGCCCTCCGTCTTGAGAGGTGCTTACAGCTGTGTTACAGCCCCGTTGCAACCTAGGCTCGGATTTGCAAAGACTGGTCTTCACGCACAGAGTAATACGAGTGAAATCAGTGGGACTGCTCCTGGAACACACTTGTACAACCTCTTCTGGACCTGCAGCACTGGGGCTCAGCGACAGGTTTGAGTAAGGGCTGACAAGTATGTGCCTGTTCAGCTGGATAGTTGCTATTTTTGTGTCTTCATAAGTAAACCTGTGCAGTTTGCAGAAAGCACTTTGCTCTTTATGGTTTTCTGAGGTACTGCTGGGCATAGAGTCTTTGTAAGGGCAGACTTATAAAGTCCTATTAGTGCTGGTGGGGAAGATACTCTGTTAAATCAACTCTGCTCCCTCTTGATATTATGCTAAAAGCTCTAGAGTATGGAAGATTTATGCTTCTTACAGAGAGCTGCTTGTTTGTTACTGTGCTTTTCTTTCACTGAAAACTGGTTGTGAAAACCTAGAAAAAGCTAGAATTGGTCAAAATACTCCTAGGCTTTCTACTCTAGTCAGACTGGTTTGTCACGCAGGCAGAGATGACTACTCTTCAGTAACTAATATGTTGGTAGTAGTTGTTTTTTTTAACAAAATAACGATGAGAGACTTATCTTGTAGTCCTTATTTGGCAGAAAGTGAATGCATTTTTTTGCAAAGCATTTTATTTGCAAGATATAGCCTTTAATGTGGACAAAAATTTTTAAAGCTGAAGTACATTAACTTGCAGCTATACCACAGCAGGGTCTCTATCGACAGGCTCTTTATGCACTTAAGCACTGTGTATACACAAAGCAGAAATAGAAATATACCTATACTGCTGCTGGTGCTGCTGATATCAGTAGCAAGATGCCTACTGTGTTAATAGGAGTAAAACCAAATAATCTATACAGGCGGCGCCCCATTCCCTTACCAAGAAGCAATATAAACGAATGCAATGTGAGGACTGTGTTTTATCTGCCCTGTCTGTGCAACAAAGTCGAACGGTGTGGTTTGTTTGCTCCGTCCCTAGGTACTCATTCCAGCTGCAGTATTCATTGGGCTTCACAATGATGACTGCTGTGGGTGCTTTGGCCATGAGGACTGTGGGAAAAGCTGTGTGGTAAGTGGCCCTATATGCTCCAGTCCCAGATAATATCAAAGACAAGGTGATGGCTGTGTTGAAAGTTCATGTCTGTTTGCTGTGCAGATGCTGTCCTCGGTTCTGGCAGCCTTTGTTGGGATCCTTGGTTCTGGATACTGTATAATCATTTCAGCACTGGGCTTGTCTCACGGACCGTACTGTTTCACTTACCTAGAAAGAAACTGGATCTATCCTTTCACTGATTCCTCTGGAGGGTAAGTTGGCTGTTCATGAGGATCTTATATCTTCCCACATGTACACCAGTACCTTTCAGCAATATCCAGTGACCATATACCAAGATCCATTCATAACTTTATACGTCTCGCTCACTAAGAACTAAACAGATGGCACCAGTTACCCATGCTGCTATAGCTTAAAACCAAAGTAATATACATACTCTGTTCTACTAAATGGGATCTGAACATACGTATATAGGTAATAATATCTATATACCATATACTGTTTGTGTCCATGAACTTCTCTAACATAAAGTTTTAGGACTTTGAGGGATTTACAAACTGTGAATAGTGGTTGTTATGCAATTTGCCTTATCGTTTCTGTAAGAATCTGGTTTGTGAGGCTTGCTTTTGAAGTTGCTTTGCATCACTGTAAACTGATATAATGCTTTCATTAGTGACATTGGCAGACAACCTGTGTAAATGAAACTAGAAAAGGCTTATGAGAATCGTTATACGCTGCAGGAGGGGAGGGCCAGAAGCTCTTAATTGGCCCTAATTAGCGCGCTCTAGCAAACCAAGCCTATGTAGCTGAGTTGTATGCTATTCCCCATTAATCCCCACAAATCCTGTAGGCTGGAAGAGGATTTGGTTTGGATCATGACGTGCTTCTACAGTGTCTGTATGGTTGGCAAACTCAAAGCTGTTTCTAGTAACAGTCTGTGGCTGATGCCAGACTAGAGACTGTTTGAGTACTAGAAGCCACATAAAGCTCCTCTGCAGCAGAGAGTTTTTGAATTTTACATTCAGTTTTGTCTCTCCCAAGAAGGGGCATTCTTCCTTCCCCATCACCCCCAACTATGACTGAATATAGAAGAACTGAGTTAAGTCCTTGCTGAACGCTTACCAGTGCTGCTGTTCTGAAGATGTGGGTGAGGAGTAGCAGCTGGAATACTGCAGTACCCCTCTAAATTTGTTCTGTGTTCGGCTCTTCCAGGGGAGGCACCTGAGGGCCCAAAGACAGGAGCACAGGAGAGGAAGTGACCTGTTGGCTTCAGATCAGTAATTGCTGTCCTTAGGATAAAGACCCAGTCCTGTAAAGCTCTGATTGTTCTGCGAAATAGCTTTGCACTTTCGGCTTGCTTGAGCTTGTGTTTCGCTTTAATCAGTAATAGAAGATTCTGCCTTTATAGCTTAGATTTGTTTTTAAAAAAAGAAATTAAGAGTTAACAAAAATGTATGGTTGATAGTTCAGCACATTCTTAAACAGAGCAAACTTTGCACGGAATTAAACCATTGTATTTTCTGTTCCCATCTATTCTCCATCAATCCTCAATGCAGTTACAAATCAGATGTAATCTGGTTCTAGTGTGTGGTAAGCATCCCACTGTCACCATGTTAATATGCTTTTAATTGCTATGTACAGGTACTTGTTTGAGTATAACAAGTGGTCTGAATGTCAAGAACCTCAAAACATCGTGCAGTGGAATGTCACCCTCTTTTCCATCCTCCTTGTCTTGGGAGGAATAGAGTTCATTCTGTGCTTCATACAGATAATCAGTGGCATTCTTGGAGGACTGTGTGGGTTGTGCTGCAGTCATGAGGAGGTAAGCTATTTGTAGTATAACAATGCTTCTCAGATGGGCACGAAACGCTATCGTTACTGATGCTGCTGTGGAGTCTTACTCCGCAGCTATTTTTTAGGTATTCTTAAGCAACAATTCAGTGCACAACTTTTTTTATAGCCCTGTTGTGTTCAGCATTTTCATGTAATATTTGACCACATGGTTTCAGCTGATTCCTCAGCTGTCACAGTGAAGTTAGTCTGCATAGGAACTGGAAGACTTTTTTCCCCGCTGTGGCACATGTGGTCATCGGCGCCATATACATGATATAACTGAAATACAAATCTCATGGTGGTGGTCTTTGCCATAGCCCAAACTATTGTTGCATAGTGTGGTGCAGTTTTTTGGTAGGTTTCTTTTTCTAAATATATTGCTTTAGCCTTGTATTTTGCTCGCAGCAGCTGATAGACTACTGAGAATATGCCATATCTGATCAATTCTGCAGCATCCTGGTCTTGCTTAGTAAAAGCAGCATAAGAGAAGGAATTAAATTGCACATAGTTAAAAAAACCTGCAGACATATCTGAAGGGTTTTGTTGAAGGTGGGGTATTTTTTCAGTGAAGAAGGGGAATTTCCTCCACATTTAAAGTCTTTAGAGTCTTGTTACATAGTTTGAGCATGTTGTTAAAAATCAGTACGGTAGTGGTACTGTTGGAATTGCAGTGGCTGAAGGTGTGAACCAGATGTAACTTATCACACATACATTATGGCTAAGAATGTGTTCTGCCTTTTTAATTGACATAGTTGAATGTTGGGGCTCTTTCAAACCTATTACTGTCTTCTCACTCCTGTCTTCTGTGCTGTAGTTGCAGTATGAAAGAGGCATGCCATGATTGTCTAAATAGGGTCAGTTTAATTTTAGCTCTTGTAGTTGGATACAATATTAGCATTCTTCCTGTTAATATGTGTTTGTTTCTTTTTTTCCCCCCCCCCACAGGCATATGTTTGCTAGAAACCTGACAACCTGACAATGCATTGACATTGGTGCACGTGTGTAGCTTATTGAGTATTCTGTGTTTTGGTTTGGTTTTTTTATAATCCATGCATACTGAAATGCACATTGTTTGTTGTCAAACTGTGCTGTTGCCATCAATTTAACTGGCTTGGGGCCAGCCTTTGTTGTGGGAGTCATATGCAGGTTTTCCACCAACCTGCCTGTATCTAAAGGCAAAATGTATCCTGAATTTCTTAGGTGCCCATACTATGATGAAACGAGCCAGTCACTAAAGATGCTCTTTTTTTTTTTTTTTCCTTTCTACCAACGCAACGGCTCTGTAGTTTATGCTACTTTCCCAATAAAGTTGCACTTTCATTCTGATGATGGAATGAACACAAACCCAATCTAGTCTGACCTGGATATAAATGCTCAGCTGGAGCAAAAACAAAGCAGCAGTAAAATGTGAACAATCGAGGACAGGTACACGCACTTCACCTTTTTAGGATTTTTCTGAACTTCTCCTTTGTTTCACAAATAAAGATTTGTATTAAAAATACCCAGCAGGTGTCAGTGATTCTTTCCCTGTCCATGCTGAAACACGGCTTTACTCGTCTTAGAGTAAAGGACAGTGGTGGCACAAGAACATGGACATTAAGCCGTCAGGTTATAGCCTACTCTTCCTCTCCAGCAGGCTTTGTCAGTGTGGGAACTGCTTCACTGTTTGGTTTGGGTCATTTAGCTGAGCCAGGCAATCATGCATCAACAAGGATATGACAGTTCAGCGACAGCTCTGTGGCAGATACAGCTGTGTAAGTGGCATCTTAGTCATGTGTCTGGGCCAACAGCTCATTGCTGAGGGCTGTTCCAAGGGCCAGAGGGAGATTCCCGTGCAGTTGAGCCACAGCTCTGTGTCCCTGCTGCTGCTCTCCCAAGGGGGGCTTACCTCCTGACTGCTTCGTCAGGGGCTTGAGACAAAGCGAAATGTGGGTCTAAGTCCTGGTTTTTACCTCCCATCAGCGGCCCCCAGGCTTATCAGTGTTCAGAAAATATAGTGCAAATTCAGGTCAGTGGTGATAGATTAAACTGAAATACATGACTTTGCCAGTAAGATCCTGTGCAAGAACCTCTGAGGTGCAGCTTGTAGCATATTACAGTGAATGCTTTATCATAAGGTGAAGGAAACCTGAACGATATGCTGCTAGCAGCATTGCTGGCAAGGTCAGGATGCTACTGGCAATGGCATTTTTCAAGTGAAAATCATGATGTGATGTGTCAAAGAAATGCGATGTCTCAATGAGGCTGATTACCACTGTTGCTCAGTTTTGGAGTCTAGCAGTTAACAGGTAAGTTAGTTTCAGTTTGTGAGAGGAAAAAGAATTTTGCATGGGTGTCAGTGTGTACGTAGTACTATTTGTAAATAAGGGGGTGGTCTTTAAAGGTAGCCAGAAACTTGAAGTGTATCTCAGGCTGTCCTCACAGCCAAGTCTGCCTGGTACAAATAAATATCTGAAAAAAAAGAAATTAACTGTGAAAATGAAATTGCAAACACATATCCACAGCAACAAAAGAACACACAGATGGGAAAAGTTTGTGTTTAGAATCTTAAGGTATCTGCTCCTTGCAATACCATTTATTCATACATAAATATATAGTAGTAGTTGAGGGCAGTCTTTAATACTATTTCTGCTTATTGTGTTTATCCTAGTCTTGCCCTGCTGTGGGAGGGAGGAGATTCACAGAATCACAGAATGGTAGGGGTTGGAAGGGACCTCTGTGGGTCATCTAGTCCAACCCTCCTGCCTACAGCAGGCTGCAGAGGACCTTGTCCAGGCG